ATGGGTGGGTTGCAGTCTGTAATGTTCTGTTGAGAGTGAGGACTGAAACTGGTAAATAAATAAATGTATGTTTTGTTCACACTTATCAACTGGATAGGGATTTATCTTACTATTGGACAGCTTTATCCATCCTTTGAACAACTGTGTCCTGGCTAATAAGAGAGCTTGCAAGAACCCATAGAAGGATGAGTGTGTGGAAAGAGGTGCAAAACAATCAATATGAAATCTCCAAGTTCATTTATCAACATATGTTCCGCACTGGTCAGTAGTCTGTGATTTACTGAATTTCTGAATTAATATTTTCAGGGCACCAAATCAAAGGGGTGGAAAGTCAGAGTTACTCTTGGAGGTTGCAACAGATTATGGTAAGTAACTCTTCTTCTTCTCTGTTTTTTTTTCCCAAAATTTTTCAAGCTCAATAAATCACTCATTTTCAAATTACATTTGATACAAAATATCTGAGACCTTATTCTCTTAAAGCTAGTGAAGTAAATCTACTGACAGAGTTAAAGTTGGTGTTATTATTTCCTCTTGCCTAAACTCACTAACAAGGTTTTAATTAAGTTGTTAACTCTTTTATAGAACAAGAAAAGTTTATTTTTAACTGAAAAAGAACCCCTTCATGCTAACTGTTGGTAGTTATTTCACTGTTTCTCGTGAATCACTAACTGAGTATTCATGAACAGGTAGAGGAGCTTAGCTTTTGAATTTGTTACGTTTGCAGCCAATCTTCGCAAAAACTTTACTACTTGTGAGTAAATGAAATGAAGTCCGTTTTGTTTAGTAGAACCCCTTTGGAAGAAAATAAAATAAGTTAATTTTCTTGGAATTACTTTACTGTAAATCAATTAATATTTCTTTCAAACTTACTAAACCATGAAAACCTGAAAGGTGTCTAGAATGTTGAAAATGTGAATACTGACACATTTTACTGTAACTCTTTTTCACTCCAGATTCAGTGTTAAAGCACGCTTTCTTGCCTTGTACAAATACAAAAGAATGTGTAAAAGATTTTGATAAAAATCTGGGTACATTTGCAGCTCATTCCTTAAAGGTGGAGGGGAAATACGTGTTTGTGGAGGTAAGAGGACCTGCTTGTGGAAAGATACAACTAACAGACCCTTGTGTTACTGTCAGAACTGAGACCCTCAGAATTATCTCTTGGTTTGGTGAATCCTTTAACTATTTAGCCACTCAGAGCAAATAACATCTAATTTCTCCTTACAATATCACCCCTAAATCACACACAAAGGTCAGGAGAATTAAGGAATTGATCACCGATTAATGAAGTTCTTGATTGTTAGACAAATTCTCCCTTTCAGCACCTTAGGAAATGTATAGAGAACAGTATGGAGAATATGCATACTGATGTTAAGGTGGAAAGGGTGAACTGCCCCCTGGTTGGCTCATTTGGTTAGAGCGCCGGATTGTGTTGTGCGGGAGGTCAAGGGTTTGAGCCCCGGCCGGACCAATACTCATGGTCTTAAAATAACTGAGGAGAATTTGCTACCTTTCTATAATATCAAGAAACAGATAGATATTCTAGTCTTTTCAGAT